GGAAATGCAAGAAAGCAAAGAGGCTGTCCAAAGAGGCCTTACAAATAGCAGAGAAGAGAAGAGAAGAGAAACAAAATGCAAAGGAGATAGGGAAAGTTACAGAAAACTGAATGCAGATTTCCAAAGAATAGCAAGGAGAGACAAGAGGGGCTTCTTAAATGAACAGTGCAAAGAAATAGAGGAAAATAATAGAAAGAGTAAAACCAGAGATCTGTTCAAGAAAATTGGAGATATTAAAGGAACATTTTGTGCAAAGGTGGACATGATAAAGGACAAAAATGGGAGGGACCTCACAGAAGATGAAGACATCAAGAAGAGGTGGCAAGAATACACAAAGGAATTATACCAGAAAGATCTGAATGTCCCGGACAACCCAGATAGTGTGGCTGCTGACTTTGAGCCAGAAGATATGGAGGCAGTGACAGATTTTATTTTCCTGTGCTCCATGATCACTGCAGATGGTGACAGCAGCCACGAAATTAAAAGACACCTCCTTCTTGGGAGGAAAGCAATGGCAAACCTAGACAGCATCTTAAAAGCAGAGACATCACCTTGCTAACAAAGGTCAGCATAATCAAAGCTATGGTTTTTCCAGTAGTGATGTATGGAAGTGAGATCTGGTCCATAAAGAAAGCTGACTGCCGAAGAATTTATGCTTTCGAGTTGTGGTGCTGAAGGAGGCTCTTGAGAGTCTCCTGGACTGCAAGGAGAACAAACCTATCCATTCTGAAGGAATCAACCCTGAGTGCTCACTGGAAGGACAGATCCTGAAGCTGAGGCTCCAATACTTTGGTCATCTCATGTGAAGAGAAGACTTCCTAGAAAAGACCCTGATGTTGAAAAAGTGTGGAGGCAAGAGGAGAAGGGGACGACAGAGGAGAGATGGTTGGACAGTGTCACTGAAGCTACCAACATGAATTTGACCCAACTCCGTGAGGCAGTGGAAGAGAGGCGTGCTCTGGTCCATGGGGTCACGAAGAGTCGGACTAAGCAACAACAACAACATCCCCACTTCACTTCCTTACTGCACACCAGTTGTTAATTAGCAGCTATTAGCTGCTGCAACTTGCACTGTTTCCTGTCAGCCAGCAACACCACAGGGCAAGATTTTGACCTAAATTATACACTTAAAAGTCTAATGGTGCATATTTTGTCAAAACAGAGAAATATATTTGGTTGATTGTCCCACGCAGAGTAGAACTTTTGAATCTATGGGACTTCGTTAAGTTAACACTTACATAAGCTTCATTGAGGCAACAGATTTCTACATGAGCATTGACACTAACAATTAGATTTAGCCTAAAGGTGATGAAGCCTAAAATCTATTCTCACTTTCAGCAAAAACAAGTCAGAGGAATTAATTTTCAGGAGACATAAAGAGAGGGGGGATGCTTCACTCTTCTTCTTCCCTGTGTCTCTACTCATAATTGTTCTTCTTGGCACGCCATCCTTACAACAGAGCACATATACCCATTGAAAACTCCACAGTTAAAAGAAGAGCAATGGTGGCCAGAGGAGAGGTAAAGCTCCCACCTCTCCTTCTATGACTTTGCTCAAGAACTTTGTTTCCTGATGTTGCTTTCCTTTTTTAAAAATAATTGTGCCAAAGTTCTCCTCTTACACACATTTGTATCTAACACACGTTCATTCCATAAAATGCTACATAGAAATTAGATACATGTGTTTGAAACCATTCTGAACCTGGTACTGGCAGCAGCTGTCAAGCACATATACAGTGGTACACTGGGATTTTATACCATGAAGTGCATAAATTGGCTGATCCTTGTATATGACAGCTGGCTGGATACCTCCAGTAGTTTAGCTGTGGTTATCTCGGTGGTTTAGGTATCTGGCTGTGGAGCCAGAGGTTGGGAGTTCGATTCCCCACTGGGCCTCCTGGGAGTAGAGCTGGACTGTGTGGCCTTGAGCAAGTTATACAGTTCCAGGACTCCCCCAGAACAAGGGAATGGTAAACGACTTCTGAGTACTCTCTACCTGGAAAGCCCTGAAAAGTTTTAATACCATATTTCCCCCCTCAGGTGATCCCTGTGAATGATGAGCCTCCTGTCATGGATACTGACCTCATTCCCTTCATGCTATGCCCAGAAGGTCAGGCAGTGTCCATTACCTCAGAATATCTTTATGCTACCGATGCAGATACTGAAGATATGCAGCTGATGTTCATGCTGCCTCGACTTCCTAAACATGGGGCTGTGAAGAAAGATGGAATTGTGGTTGATCATTTCTCCCAAGCAGATGTTGTTTCTGGAGCCGTGGCATATGAACATACGAGTAAGTGTGGGCAACGCTTCAAGAGAGGGAAAGTCTCCTGTGCTGATCAAAGGATGCCAGTTGCCATTCCATTATAACTGTTTATAACCACGTCAGACACCAAGGCAGTTCTCTACAGTCTAATTGGAAATTAACTGGAATGTTTTGGCCTTCATATGCAAAAAGAACCTGAAAGAGTTACTTTCTTCTTAATTGTTGCTAATGCAACAACAGTGCTTTGAAAGGATATTTTTTAAAGTCCTGTCAAAGCATTGCTGATTTGCTACTGCGTCAGCAACCATTAACAAATGTTAAACTTCCCCCTCCCTTTCCTTCTAAGGTGAGTGGCAAGGAATATTTAAAGGGAAAGCTTTCCATTGAATGCACTTCTCAGAGACACTGTAGAGCAGACTTCAGAAATAAAGAACATTTGACGCTGCAGGGACAGCCTTGATATCTTCAAGGCCCAAATAGGTCCATACAGGAAGAGGTATTACCTCTGGGGGCCAAAGTCTCATCCTGTTTAGGGTTTTAATATTACAAAGCTGACTGGAAATCTTAATGAGGTAGAATAGAATACCTGACTGTGGAATCAGGGGTTAGGAATTCTTTTCTTTACTGTTTCTCTCTGAAGACGAGCCAGCTTGTGTAGCTTTGGGCAAGCCGTACAGTCCTAGAGCCACCAGTAGATGAATGGACTGGTAAACAGTTTCTGAGCACGTTAGACCTAGGAAACCCTGCCCAGGACCACTATAAGTTGGAATTAACTTAGCTGCACATCATCATTCCCCATAAGAGCCATAGCTAGGGTAGGGCAACAGAGGGCACAAAACTGTGCAGCTGAAGGAGCATGTGTCTGGTATTTATTTCCAGAAGCAAGTGAGCTCAGTTGCCCTGGGGGCATGTACGTATTGCCTCTAGCTCTTTTTCCTTGGGCAGAAGGTAACACAGAATAGTCAGGGTCAGCAGAGAACTAATATGGCACAGTATGCTCAGACCCAAGCATTCCTCCCTGTTCCTCTGTTTTTTTCAGATTTGCTCACATAACCAATAGGGCACTAATATGCCATGAACCATATCTCCTAGTAACAGTTCTGAGAGTTATTGCCAAAAGGTCGGTACAGTGGTGCCCCGCTAGACGCTTACCCTGCATGACGTTGAAATCGCGTAACAATGGCATTTTTGCGATCGCTATTGCGATCGCAAAACAATAGTTCCAATGGGTTTTTCCGCATTACGTTGATTAGGAGCCTGCTTCGCGAACCGTTTGTTCACTATACGATGATTTTTCCGGTTCCGCAAAATGGCTTCCCTCCCTTCTCAAAATGGCTGCTTTCCAGACCCCTGCTTCGGAAGACAGCGATTTTTAACAGCTGATTGGTGGTTCTCTATGGGCAGTCTTCGCTGGATGATGAGGTATTTCCCCATTGGAATGCATTGACTCGTTTTCAATGCATTCCGCTTGACGACGATTTCGCTTAACAGCGATTTTCCTGAAATGGATTATTGTTGTCAAGTGGGACACCACTGTAGTTGTGTGTGGCTTGGGAAAAGGTGAGGTGTCAGACACATGCATTAGCTTGTAAATAATGAGATCTCTTCTTGGTACCATTTTAAAAAGGTATATTTGTGTGATGAAGAAAATATGTCAGTAGCCTTTATTTTAGATACCTTTGTGATTATTCCTTATAAAGTATAATGTAATGTAACAAACAAACAAACAAACAAACAAACAAACAAACAAATAAATAAGGAATTGTTTTTCTATTTTGATTTTAATGAGCCTCTTACATTAGGGGAGATATGGTAAATGAATACTGTATTATAACAGTAATTTTAGGAAGTTTCTCTTGAATATTTTATGACTACTGTGGAAAATATGTGGTTGGTGCTGCGGGTTAAACTGCAGAAGCCTCTGTGCTGCAAGATCAGAAGACCAGCCATTGTAAGATCAAATCCACAGGACGGAGTGAGCTCCCGTCACTTGTCCCAGCTCCTGCCAACCTAGCAGTTGGAAAGCATGCAAATGCAAGTAGATAAATAGGTACCACCTTGGTGGGAAGATAATGGCGTTCTGTGTCTAGTCACGCTGGCCACATGACCACGGAAATTGTCTTCGGACAAATGCTGGCTCTACGGCTTGGAAACGGGGATGAGCACTGTGCCCTAGAGTCGGACATGAGTGGATTAAATGTGAAGGGGAACCTTTACCATTACTGCAGAAAATATTTTGGTATTTTCACATATTTTTTAAAAAATGTTTCTTATAGGAATTTTTAATCATGTATTGTCAACATATGATGCTTTATCTGTACTTACTTTTCCCAGGTGGTGAGATTGGCTTGGATCCTTTATTTGATATCCTTACCTTTGTTGTCTCGGATGACGAAATCAGCCCTGATGCAAATACTTGTTGTTATGACAAATCGCCATCTCCTGCCATGCCACTTCATAAAACCTTTCCAGTGTATGATCTTAACATCACCATATTTCCAGTGGACAATCAACCACCCTCTGTTGCTACCGGTAACAATGCGTCAATGATGAATTTGTTTTAATGAGCCAGCAGGTTGAGAATGTAGTTGAGGTGGATCCATGCAGAATTCAGTATGTGGTGAAGGGGAACAGGCAATTTCTTCCTAACACACTCACCTCAGTAGCTAATCCATGTTTACTTTGCTTCTGTAGTGCTGGCACAACAGATAGCATGATTATACAATAAATATGAATTAAATTGGAATGAAACTATCAATTTGTTTGGGTGAACGAATGCTATAGGTAACTCTTAACTGGAACAGGTGGTTCTTTGCTGCAAATTTTGGAGGAAAGCACCTCCTCTGCTTGCACATCCAGTTGTCAAACCAGAGCATTTCTCACCTTCCATATCTTGCAAATTAAGCTTGAGTTGTTGTTTTTGACTGGGCTTGGAAAGCTAAGCATGGCTTTATGTCAGACTTCTCAAATATTAAGATCTACCTGAATCATATATTTAGAGCAATAACATGATTTTAGCTCTAATTATGGGTTAACTATAATGTACAATTTGTATTAAATTATTATGGCCAGAATCCTATTGGTGTACATTTTGTGTAACTTGCTACATCTATGTATTCGCGAAGGCTTTCACAGCCGGGATCAAAGGGTTGTTGTGGGTTTTTCGGGCTTCTTGGCCGTGTTCTGAAGGTGGTTTTTCCGAACGTTTCACCAGTCTCTGTGGCCGGCATCTTCAGAGGACAGCAAACTGTGCTCTTGTGTAGTTTGGCTAGGGCATGGAGTATTTATGGCTGTGAGATGGGATGATTAGTGTGTATTGTTGTGGGTGTATTGTTTTCTGTGGATGGGTGATCAGTGTGTTTTGTTGTGTGTGTATTGTTGTGATAAGGAGATTGTCTGTCACTGTGGTTGATGGTGGTGATCCCCTTGACCTTGTGGTTGGGTAGAGTTCGTGACCTTTTGCATGCTGTATCCACAAGCACCAGAAAAACTTCAATAAAAAAGAGGAAAGTTTGAAACTCAACAAAACTTGGCTCCCAGCTCTCAAAAATACATCAAGCTAAATATGTGAATTTAAACCACTGGTTTTCTAACTGAGCCCATGTCAAAATTAGTGTTAAGATAAGAAGAGAATGCAAAATAATGAAATAGAAGAATAAAGCTTGTAGCAGCAGAATGGGTGGTACCATACCAGATTGTGAGGTGTATATATTATGTGCTGAGGAGGCAAATCCCTCCATGCAAGGAAAAACTAGCACAGTCTGGAGAGGCCTGAGTTAAAACCTTTCATCATTGTTTTTGTGTTAAAGCACCATTGTACAAAGAAGAAATGTATCAGATAATTTTTGACCAATAATGGGAAGCATCATGAACATTTGGGGCAGCTAATATCAAATCTTTCATGTTTCACATTGAGGATCATAGAGTACACTAGCATAGGTGTGAAGTTGCATATTCTTCTCTGCATTCACAAAGGACTGTGGCAGTGAGAAAACCCAATTTCCTTAGGGTTCACTTTGGTTCTGCTATCTCTACTAAGTGACTTTGAAGTAACCCTGTTCTCTGTGTAACTGGGAGCTACATAGGCTTCCTGGGGGTTCCATCCATTTTAAGAGGTGGGTAGTCCTCTCCTTCCACATAACAGTTGTGACATTTTCTGCTGTTCTTTTAAAATTCACATGAAAAACTTTCCTTTGATTGTAATCTGGGAGGGATGAGATGGTTGCTGAAGAGTGAATGTGCATTTGATGTAGATGTTTTGAGTCTTTCTGTATTAGCTGCTACTTCTCACTGTGCAATGACTTATATACAATTGATTCTATAAATAGGGATCAACTTCAGGCATCCAGTAATGATTCTACAGTTTTCATTGAGTGCTATGTCTACCTTTTTTGCATGGGCTGACCTATATCACACAGGGCTGATGAGTGTGCGTGCTTGGGTCCACCATGCAAGTTGGAGTACGATATTTTGTAAGCCTTCTCACTGAACACCACATGGAAGCAGAAACACAGCACCTGGAAAAATGAGTTGTCTGTAGATTGGTAATGAGCCTTCAATGAGTAACAGTAGCAGAGAGCTTGATAGAACTCCCCATATGCCATGCGTGCAATAGATCACATTGTCTAGTGGGAATAGTGGCAGCTGCTGCATCTGTTAGGCACATTTGACTTCCTTCCTGGCTGCCAAAATATGTGTCCCCCCCTCCCCACACCCATGGTTCTGGGTTGCAGTGTTACACTGTTAGTTAGGTCTTGCCCAGACTTTGGCTCCATTTACCCAGATTCCTCTAAAGCCTGACCCAGTAGCAGTTAGAGTCTCCTCCCTGTCCCACCTCTGCCATTTCACAAGGATCCACACTGGGGTGGTGACATCCGAAGGGCCTCCCTTTTGGTCTCCAGCTTTGATCCAGAAGTCTCAGGGAATGAGATGCTCTTGGTCTGGCAACTATAGACCAAAAAGTAACTTTCCCAAGCTCTGTTGTTGACCTAGGGCTGAGCCAGCCTGGGCAACCCTACCTGCCATCATAATGACCACACAGATACAGTTCTGGAAGGAAAGGACACAACTTTATTGGTTTCAGCAGCAAGTTGCTGGCCCAGCACTGGGATGGATCCAGTGCATAAAAAGACCTGCCTGCCTCTTGATGCTGTCCCACCCCTCAGCAGTCTGCTGAGGGTAACCCACCTGGGTTGACAGACTGTGGAGTCCACACGGGCATAAGCCACTCTGTGACTCCATGCTACCTGGAGATAGAGGCGGGCACAGGGCCCTCAAACTGGGCCATAGCCTGCCCCATCCCCAGCTCCCTTTAAGGGGATCCCTTAACTTCCTGGGGCTGTAGGACCTGCCTGGAGCCTGTTAACACCACCTAGATCTGCCCCATGTTCCAAACTGCCATGAAAACTGGTCCCTGCTCAGCTCCTGCCAGACAACTGTAGCTGCAACCATGTGGCTATGCTTGCCTTGATGTTGGCTAACCAGATGTCATGACTGCTGTCTGAGAGCTGGACCTTGTCACTATGGAAAAGGTGCTTCAGCTCGTAAGATCCCGCTGCCACCCCAGGCAGTGACCATATGACGCACTTCTTGGGTAATCTTCTGCCTTGGTATGTCCACTTTGCGGGGGTCCTGAGCACCCCTCCACACTTGCCTCTCCAGAAGGTTGGACCACAGAATGCTGGTCATGGGGTGCATAAATTCCAAATAAGCCTTGATGGAGTATGTGAGATCCAGTCCCCTTATGGCTGAGAGGTCATTCTCTCCCAGCTGTACTAGGATTGCACCTGGTGGTCCGGTGGCCTCAGGATGGCACCATACGCAGGACAGAAGCTGGTTCCAGCACATTCCTCTATGTCCCGTTCACCGGAGAGTCACATGTCCACCCAGCCGAAGGTCAGGCCTCCAATGCTTTGCTGCTGCATATTTTGACACCCAGAACATGATGCTGTGCCTAATTATCCAGGTTTCTCACTGGTCATCTAAGGTAAAAGCTGAGGAACAGAAAAACCATCAGTACAAGGCAAGGTTAGTGAGAATGAATGCTTTGTAACTAGCTGAGCACTGCCTCCCCATTTCTCCTGTTCTGTCTGGGACGTGCCATGAGTGGCTGCCTCAGTTGCCGGCCCAATCCTGAAGGGAGGCAAAACTGCTGGGTGGGAATCCTGCTCAGAAACTGGTTGTGGGTAAGCTGTGTGTGGTCCTCCTATATCAAGAAGGGCCCCTCCCCCAACAGGTTGGAAGGACTGCTTCCCCTTTGCAGTCATAGGCAGATGGTGGCACCCCTGCCTCTCTGGTCAGTTTTAGATAACCACAGGTACAGAACCAACCCTTCCCCTTCCCAAGAGACATCTTGGCTCTGCAGGGAGCAGCCCATTTGCTCCCTCTTAGTTCCTGCCACCAATTCCCCTACTTGGAATGCCTTGAAGAAGGCTAACGTGTAAGCTGCCTCCAATAGCCGGGCTTCATACATGGAGCAGCATATGCTCTGCAATTGCCCAAGCAATGTGGCCAAGGTGAACAATGCATCTGGGGGCCTGGGTGTTGCCTGCTCCCAGCCGCCAAAGGCCCTCCTAACTGGGAAGGAAAAACAGGGGTCTAGTAATCCCTGGAACTGACAAAAGAAGGAGATCCCTGCTTGATGAGTGTGCATGGACCTTGGCGTGAGCCCCTGTACTTTGAGAGATGAGGTATACCACAGGACTGTCCCTTGTATTACTGGCCCACTGACCTCTAGCCCTTCCTCATTACAATCGGTGCAGAAGGTTCCCCATGCCCCAGCATAGGCCTTGAATGTTGGTGGGGCAATTGAATTCTATACTTCCTGGATCACACCTTTCATCTAAGGGTCCAGAGCTCCTCTGGGAATAGATTTGTGTTCATGCTTGCGTGCGGCACAAGTACTACTTTCCTGGGAATGAGACAGGGCATCTGCAGTACCATTATCCAAACCTGGGACAAATTTCGCTACAAATGTTTGCCTGGAGGCATAAAAAGCAAAGCAAAGTGTGCTGCTTATATACCGCCCCATAGCACTTCAAGCACTCTCTGGGCGGTTTACAAGTTAGTTACGCAGACTACCCATTGCCCCCCCCCCAGCAAGCTGGGGACTCATTTTACCAACCTCGGAAGGATAGAAGGCTGAGTCAACCTTGAGCCGGCTACCTGGGATTGAATCCCAGGCTGTGAGCAGTTTTGGCTGCAGTACACCAGTTTAACCACTGCGCCACGAGGACTAATCAGATTTGCACCACCGCCCCGGGCACTTTCCCATGTAGAAGTCCCAACAAACCCACCTTGGAAGATCCTTTTGCCCACCCCACTTGCCTGCTTCGACTCCACCCCTTCTCTCCTTGATGTGAGGGCCCACTTTCAGCAACTACAGCTTGTAATAGAGGAGGTCCCCTCTTGCATGGGATGATTGAGAGGCTCTTTTTCCGAATGCTTCATCAAAGTTGAGGGTGGCTGCCAGGGATCTGACTCTTCAATACATTACTGTAATGGTTGGTGAGGTGCCAGCCCATGTGCAGATATGTCACCTGAACCACCTCCATAAACACTCTGTAGCCCACTAACTGGTTATCGAATGTTCTTTCTGCCTCCATTTCCCCTCCTTGTGCCATCATTTTTTCCCTTTGTCTTTCCTTCCTCTCCTTCCGGGATTATCAGTGTGAAAATAGTCATGTAACATCCCTCTAGGATACTTTCCCTAATTTTGCGCGGGAGGTGCATACCCGCTGGATCCTCATTATCCATGGTTTCCCGCACCAACAGCTACTCGTGTGGTGGCTGGCACAGGTGAGCGGCAGGTGTCCTGGCTGCTGACCCCTGCATTGCAGGCCTCCTGTTGGAGAAGGGTGTATGGGATCCCAGCTGTGCCCGCCATTTAGGGAGGGGTGCAGAGAGTGGTCCCTGCCTCTTAAGGCATGGTGGAATCTCTCCACAGCTCTTGGCTTCTTTGTAGGCCTACCTGGAAAACCTCTCTCAGGCCTTGCCCTTTGGGGCCGGCCAGAGGTACCCCTGCTTGATGCCCGTCCCTTAGGGGGTTCACTGGGAGCATTCTGTTTCTCCTGCCATTTGTTAGTGATCTGCCCCTTAGAGGCATGGTGGTGGCAAGCCAGAGGGTGGTCACACCCTCCTGGCACAACAGCATGAGGCTTTTGCAATATGTCCACCCATTTGGTTTTCCCTTTTTTTAAAAAAATAATAATTAAATTTTCCACCCTCATTTAGTTTTCTCTCCCCTCCTTTTTTATGTTTTGGGTCCCTCTGGCCCATCCCCTGCAGTTTTCAGGATGGCCAAGCAGGTTGGATTTCTGCTTTTTCCGCCCTTTGATATACAGGCAGGTACCTCTGAGAGGGGTATGTGCTTATATGTCCAGTTGTCCTTCCCAAGCAGGCAGGCACCCTCTTGCTCATTGTTCTCCATGCCGATGCTCTTTTCCCCATTGCTACCATTGTTCTTGTCCTCTCCGTTCTTCTCAGTGCTGCTCCTCTCCTCATTGCTGCTCACTGCCACACTTTGCTCCACTGCTACTCATTGCTGCTGCTCGTTGCTGCCATTCACTACTGCCACTCGTCGCCTCTGCCTGCCACGTCTTCTTCTTCACACCATCCACTGATGTTCTCCCAGACTGGCTGGGGAACCACAGCAGTTCCTGTTTTAAGCCAAGGAGGTGGACCAGAGTGAAAACCTTGTCACACTGGTCCGTGCACCAAGGCTCCAAGTCTGAATGTTGTGGGCAGCCAATGGAAGGTCCCCACATCAGCTGTGCCCTCCCATTGGCCCTCGCACCCAGCCAGCCATGGCTCTGGTGCCATTCTGGGAGCCTGATTGTCGCGACTGCCACCTCCTCCTACGTCACCACAAGAGATGACAGGCCACGATCCTTCACACACACACAGTACTTCGCTGCCACCAACCACACATAAACCTGACACTTCAGACTTATTGTGGATTTAAAATTAAAAATGATGTTTTATTGAGTACAAAAATAAAATGTAAATCACTGAGAAAAAGAATCACTTGTAATACTATATTTATCAGACCTTTAACCCTGCACAGTTCTTTATTGCTTGACACTAAGTTACCTAACCTATATCTAACCCTCTCACTCTCCCACTCATTCCCCAACAACAACCTCTCCTCTCTTTGCACACACCCCTTATATACACAAACTCCACCCCTTTAAGACCCACCTCCTGCCCTGCCATAGGCCAGGAAACTCCAGCCTTAGCCAAGACAGGCAGGTGACGTCA